ACAAGAGAGTAACACAGCGTTCATCCCAAGGTCGGGTTGTGCAGACGCAGTCACTAGAGTAACTTGCAAAACTTGGAGTAAACCCTTACATTTGCTAATTCCTGCCTAAGTGGTGCAGATAGTGCTTGAAGTGGAACACAAGCCAGATTGTTTTACAGCCGCACTTACTTTCATGTTTATTGTTTACTTTTTATTGTTGTATTATTATCATGTGAATAGTTTTTATTTTAATGTCTTATTAATCATAAAAAATTAGTGATTGATAACCCTTGCTTTCATTGAGTTATAAGGCTGGATAGATATGCAGGCATCTTGTTGAGTACCTTGTTGAATAACCAATATGAGTTCATATATATCAATATTCTCCTGATATTGAAAACTTTATCAGGTTTTGATGGTTTTCTTTTGGATTTTTTAAGAGATTTTTCTACCAATTAGCTATGTACCATTAGATTGCTTGCAACTATGAGAAGTTTAAGCACAGATACTGAGGACCTGAAAGAAAGCATCTTGTCAACAAAGCAGGGGCTGTGCTAAACATGTGAAATGAAGCATACATACCCCAAGTAAGTCTTGAAGTCAAGTACTGAAAGCTTTTTTCAACTGGCTGTTCATTTCATTACCAGTCCAGAAGCACTTGCTGGAATGGAATTAACTAGATACATATCTTATTATAGAAAAATATTCTTTTTTCCACAAACTTATGACCTCTGACTGGATAAACACTCATCTAAATCTGGAGCAGATGCCTGACTGGTACCCGGCTGCCTTTGCTGTTTGTCCTGTTGTACACAGCACTGGCAGTTCCTGTTCTTGTTTGTCACTTTTTGATGAACTGCATGAAATTCACAGTTCCATTTGCTTAACCAATTATCTTCTTAACTAAATTCATATGTGTTTGAGTGCCCCTGGCTTTGGCATGTGAACTGACTGGAATGAGCTGTGAAAGATGAGTGTCATCCAGAGACTGGTAAGAAAAGTGGCTTTTCCACATGTGGATGATCACCCGTTTGATTTGACTTTCTGAGAACCAAATTCATATGTACTTCCAGTGTGATGTTGTAATGCAGTACTTTTAACCAGAACAAGCACAGATGTTGGTTTGGTTTTAGCTGGGGTTTGTTTGTTTATTTTAATACCCAAAGGTATTGATATTTTCCACAAATTTTCATTTTAAATATATCATCTTTTTAAAAATGCCTGACCATCAGTAGTCACCATAAAGCAATAGTCTTCTGTTTGCTGATTCAAGAGTTCCTATGTACAATATAATCACTAAGCCCCAAATAATGTCATTTCAAACCAGATGGTGCTTCATACTGAATTACCTCTTACACTGACCATCACAGAAATTACAAGGAACTTGGCAAGTACTACCTACTATCTGGCACATGTGGGTTGTTCCTATCTCATCGTACCTAAGTATTATTTAGTGTTTTTCTTTATACAGTTACACTTGGAAATTTCAGACTTAAATGTTTTATACAGTAAAATCAAACTTTTACGTTGTAAATCCATGTAGCAGGTCAGCCCAACGGGGGCTGCTATGCGGTTAATTCACTCCCTTGTTAGTGTGCATTAATCCCGCATGTAAGCAGGCCCTTATTTAAGCTCATTTCAGTGTCATTTCCACAAGATGAGCTTGCATCCATGACCAAAATCAGAGTGTAAGTAAAGCTTTAGATACTCTTATATCCACCTAATACCAATCATACAACCCTTTCTGAGTTCGATCCAGTATTTTTTACCCCTGCATGCTGAAGGGAGCCTGCACTTGCCCTCCTTTTTTAACCACATTTTTTTGTCCTCTGCATTGCAATCTTTATTAAGCTTACTAGCTGGAAAACAGAAACAGATGGCTCTAATTATTTGGACATCATTTTGTCACTAAAAATCAAATTACAAAAGCTTTCACAGAGTAACTCTCCTCATCTGTTAAGTTTTCCGTCTTTATTTTGGGAGAAATAGACCAAGTTTATTTTTATATCTGGTGCCTGCATCCTTTGCCAGCTAGTTGAGGGACAGCTGTTAATTGTTTATTCTCTATTTGCCTGCAGATCTCTTAGTTTCTCTGACAGGAAAGCCGTCCAAGCTGCCATGTAGGTGACAGCATTTTGATGTTGTAGTCACATCACATATAAGGGTAAAGCCACATCATGATTTATATGAGTTGTCAAGTCCAACATCTTATAGAGCCAAAACTCAAGTGACTGTAACATTAATTTAAAAGGAGCCAAACAAAGTGAGTACAGAATAGGCAAGGATGCCAGAAACTGGCCCTGCTGCCATTACTGGCACCTTCATGGGCTGCTTGTTTACATTTGTGTTTTTGAGTCAAACAGTATAAATTCTCTTTGATAAAATAATTTCATTAAACTAGTGGAAATTTTCTAAATAAAACAGGCAAACCAGGTACAAATAGCTTCAAACTAATCAAAGTTGAGGTTTTCTGTTGAAATATATATATGCACACACATAGATGTGCACATTTATCTTCTTAGATCCAAATTAATGTTACAAATGGTGTTCTGGCTTTATCAGATTGCCACATTTCATGTAGGTGGATGCTTGCCACATCCTGTAGACTCAGGGTAACACCAACAGAGTGAATAAGGAGCTGTCTTTTCATTCAGATCTTAAAGTTGTTCTTGCTACTATTAATATTGCCGCAAAAGTCAATAGTAACTCCTCTGAAGGCAAGATCCCTTCTTCAAAGCCTCTGTAATCCAAACATTCCTCACTTTAGCTTCTCACTGAGATTGCAGGTTCTGTGTAGCACCGAGTATTTACTGCCTTCCAAATTCCACTCTGTAAGCATTAGTAGTTTATATTTCATCCAATATCACCAGCAAACTGTAATCTGAGTTTACAAATGTGCCACGAGGCATTTTCAGTTTTTGACATAGTTCATCACCCTTAACTGAATTAACAAAGCCAAAACACCCAAGTCAGAATCTCTTCAGCAGAGAGATAAGGCAAGACACCTTTGGGTGTGAAATTCATAGTGCATTTCTGAAATGAGTTTCTGCAACAGTGAGTAACCATATGGTGAAGTAAACCATAATGCATACAACAGGGAAGACCTACTTGCCCTGAATTAGACCTGTGTAATACTCCTATATAATAGCGTTCTATATAGAAGAATATAGAGGTATTTAGATGTAAATCCTGAGCATTCCTAACAGATAAGCTGGAAAGGAAAAAAAGAAAAAGGATCCTTACCATTTCTCCCTGGTTTAGCCTCTTTGGGATGCATTGCCAGAAATGAGGCAGGGTTCTGATTTAGTGCACACATGCTGCTAAGATTACATTTGAAGGAAAAGGAAAGGAGTTTAACATGGTTAACTTCTGTGCCCAGGCAGTCCTGCTCTGAAAGCATGGTGCAGCCTGTGCTTGGTGCCACTGAATGGCCACAGCTACATTTCCTTGCAGCACCTCCCTGTGCACTGCCTGCTCTGACACTACCTCTCGCACATTCTTCAAGGGTAAATGCTACACAGGGTGACATTTTGTCTTGCTGCCTAATTGCTGGGAACAGCAGTGGTAGCCTCCTGGTGCAGCCAGCGTCAGCAGACACTCCCTTTCCCTCTTTCTACTTCTAAAGTGATGTTAAATTTGGTGAAGTGTCATGTTGGTGGTAGCCATCCTATGACAGGTAGAGCCTGTCAGACTGATGAGAAGGCTAGAAGGCAACTTTCTGCATTGAAGTCATAGCTTTTGTACCATTTCCTACATCTTTTCAGCCCTGGGAGATTTTCTGTCAGTGTTTCTGTTCCAGACCCACTATTCTGTGGCTGCTCGGGCTGTGTTATGCATCTCACCCAGTGCTCCCCATCTCTGAACACAGCCCACCCTGAGGAGCACCCCCAGCTGGGTTGTCCAAAGATAGAACTGTTATACGAGGAGGGAGCTGTAGTGTGTGCACGTCACAGATGAGTGAGGAATAATAAAAAGCAGAAAGGAGAAGCAGCAGTATGGGAGATTAGGAGCTAGCAACAGGGAAAAAGAAAAGCTATTCTCACCATTTTCGAATGACTGCTTGAATTCTACCAATGGGGTGATAATTATCATCTTGAACCTGTTCTGTCACCCAGCTCCTCTCTCACAGACCAAAATCAGCTTTGTCTGACATTCCGAGCATCACTGAGCTGTGCACCAGAAAAATGCAGTAATGAGAAGCAGGTCCTTAGATGTGGCAAGTTGCCTGTGTGAGCACTCTACATGACTTAGCTGGTTTTGACTTGATCAATAAGCATCTCCATCAGGCAATTCACTCTTCTTGTTGATAACACTAATGAGAGCTGAGTGGATTAGCTGTAGGCTGCCCTTCTGCTGAGTTTAGCCAGTGATAAATCTGAATTTGTTTAAAAAGAAAAGTAGAGAGTTAGTGGGGGTTATTCATGTGCTGGAGATAAAGGGCAGTGAAAGAGGTGTTTAAGACTATTTCATATATTTGTGCTTACACAGGCAATGCTACGCTGCTGCTTGAACTCTGGTCTCCTACCTTTCCCATGGGGAATTCCCAGGTTTTGCAGCACTGTAAATTAGTGGATAGGGAGTTTGGGGGGACCCAGAGGACTTAATGTTTGTTAAAAGTGGGATTTGGTATCAGTGCTCCTATTAATACCAAACTCTGACGGGCAATTCCTTGTTGAACTGAAGTATTGTCAGGTAGCTCTGAGCCCTCAAAGTGCAGCAGTTACCGTGAGTTTTACGCTAGTACATCTGTGCCCTTTCCACATCATCATTGTAACTTTCTTAGTACTTTTTCCCAGTCTGTTTTCCCTGTTGTGCTTTTTAATATATGTACTGTTAAAGTAATGAAAGTTACTCGAGGAAACTTGATGGTAGGGGCTGTAAAAAGAACCCAGAGGTGTATATTTGATTTGCATGAACTGGGGAAGTGAATGCTCTACCTTGCTTCAACAGGCTGAGCACGTGTCTCCTGGAATAAGTGTCCTGAATGGGCTAAGCTTTCCTTTCCTCTGTTTTCCACTCAGGGTTTCAACATGGGCACCCAGCCACACACTGTGACCAAAGCAGAGATCCCCGACTATGTTCTTTACACCGTAGGAACATGTGTGCTCATTATTGGCTCCATTGGCATCATTGGAAACCTTCTAGTTCTCTATGCATTTTACAGGTACAAAAATTCCTTTTACAGTTTATATGACTGGCTTTAAGATTCACATCTTGCAAGAAGAGTTTAATACTTTTAATGATAGAAACCACAGTTTCTTAGTTACAGGCTTCTTCACTCACCCTGTAGAATGTGCAGAAATACTTGACAAAAACTGATACTCCTGGAAGGACCAGATGTCCTGGAAGGACCAAGAAAACAATGTGCTACATGAGATGAACTCATGCCATCAGTGTATTCCCTGCTTCAGGCTGATCATAGGATTTCTGTCAGTTTGTTTGCTCACTTGGCTTTGTGACAGTGTAATACACAGCCAAAGCTACTGCAGCTAGAGTATGCAAAAATCTAATGGAAAAAAAATAGGCACCTTCTGTCTTACACTGTGATGCTGGCTTTCAAAATCCTCCTCGCTCACTGCTTACTGTTATCATACCCGTTTTATGCAAAGGGGGCTCACAGTGCTAGAAACACTGGTGGGGTTATGAGCCAAGCATTGTTTTTTTATTCTTAAATATTTATGACAAATACTTTAGTTATTTTGAATAGCTGGCTTTTAGTATGAGGTAGAGAAGAAATGGGATTCCCTGCAACTGTAGATAACTTCATGTTTTTTGAATTGCAGCGCATGCTCTCCGTTTTTCTTGAAATTTCTTTGTTTAGCTGCTGTAATAAAATAATTAAATTGTCAAAGGAGGAAAATCTCCATAGGCAAAGGTGTGAACTTTCTCACCCACTTGATGCAGGCAGTTATGAGACCCAAGGTTTTCTTAGAATTGCAGCAGCATTGAGATGGCTTTTTCAATTAATTTTTCAGTATTACTTTATCTGCATGAGGACAGAAATTAATGCTCTCTGCAAATAGTGGTATTTTAAAGCAGATCAGAAAGGCCTCAGTTGTCAACTTTCTACACTAAAGGAGGTGTTTGAGGGAGAAGAAACAAGTATTTAAGATTACTGCATGCAGTTTGTAAGAATAGAGTTATTTATAAATCCTGCTTCTTCCCTGTATCTCACAGAGTATGCCAAGTTGCTTCTTTTTGCATTATATGTACCTAACTCTGTGAAAAGCCCTGAATTCATAGGCTAGATATCAGAGCATTTTACTTCACCATGCATCTAATACAGAGGTTGACATCGAGGGACTACTAGTTCACTGTTGCGCCTTCTCAGTATGTCCTTCAAAAGTGACAGTCTTCAGGTAGATTTGGGTGACATTGACTCACAGATTAACTTAACTTTCCTAGTGGGACATAATATTCAATGAGAGCAACAAGGGCATATTCAACCAAATAACCCTAAGTAAAAGTGAGAGGTTCTTTATTATGTTACCAGTATCTTTATTCCTCTTGGCCAGAGCCAAGGGTAACCTTGAATGCCAGCAGAAGGTTTCCAAGGAGGTTGTGACTCCAGATATCTCTATCAAGTGAGACTACATGAAGTGGTGAGATGCGGGGGAAAAAAAAACCTGGAAGTGATGTTTGTTTTCTTTGGATAAATTCTGCTTGCAGACTGGCTGCTGCTTTCATACTCTTTGTTCTGGAATTCAATGCTGCCTGCCCTTCTGCAGCCGAGAGCTTTTGTTCTCCCTTACAAGATGTATATGAGAAGTATTTATTTTAAATCTCTGTGCATGCTTTGCTTGTGCCATATCACTTTGCAAAGGGTCATTTAATCAGTGGTAATGTGGTGATTCCTGAGGTCAGCAGCTTTTAAAAATTCACCTAAAGGAGGTTCTTTGGCTCTGTGACTGCTTCAGATCCTGGTCTTACGTAGTCAGGCACTTGCAGTATTGCTGCACTTACAGGGAAATGCTCTTGTCCTGAACAAATTCGTATTTTTCAAGATAGCTAGAATTCTCCTCATTTTCAAGTAGAAACAACCCATTTTATCCTGCTTGCTTTTGTCAGTCGTCGTTTTGAAATAACTACATCTGTGGCTGCAGTAATTGCTTGATGATTAGCAATTGACTGACTGTAAGTAACCACTGGATGGTATTTGTTCATGCTAGTAAGCCAAGTTATAAAGTTAACTGTTCACTTTGTCTATTTGAAATCATGTTATTTCTTATGTTTTTAAGCAACAAGAAGCTGAGAACACCCCAAAACTACTTTATAATGAATTTGGCTGTGAGCGACTTCCTGATGTCAGCTTCTCAGGCACCCATGTGCTTTGTCAACAGCTTGCATAGAGAGTGGATACTTGGAGATATAGGTACTTTTCAACACTAATTTGTTTCTCACCAGCTCTATACTGCCTGCAGCCTATTTTAGTCGTAACAACCGTGGCTTGTGCTGTGGAGACAGCAGCACAAAGCTCTTGAGTGGCATCAGTCAGCATGATGGCAGGTGTTTTGCATTATATATGTCATTATTTGCTCTTATTTATTTTGGAAAGAAAGGAATCAAGATCAACATGTAATCTTCTCACCCTTTAGCTCGTAAGGGCAGATGCAATGACTGTAGATGGGTAGAAAAGTTTTATTAAGTAATTATGTTTTGCTGTATTTGTTTAAGAGGGAGTTATTTTTATTTAGAAATATATGCCAATATCCATTAGCATGCTTCTAGGAATCTCACATTTAATTAAGAGATTTAAATAACAAATTTAAGCTACTTTCTTTCCAACTGTAAAAAAACAAAAGTGATGCATGCTCAAATTATAGTTGAAATGTGAGTATAGCAAGTTCTTCAGAAGGATCAATGCTCTGCTTAGTGCTGCTGATCACATCATTGGGTGAAAATTTGCACCAAATAGTGGTCATGTATTGGTTGAGCAAACCCAGAGACCATGCATTATTTAACGGCACAGAAGGGACTCTTCTTCAGTTTGAGGATGTTTTTAGTTCTGTTCGTGCCCTTAGATAAGATCTGTGTAAATTATCATGCTGCCACAAAGTGAAGCAATTAATTTGGGTTGAGTGGCATTCGGTCCTTTATTGCAGGTTACTTATAAAAACTGTAGAAGTCTGCTTTAAGGTTAAATCTAGTGTTTTGACTGCCTCCTATTACCAGTGGGCTGTTGTCTATGTCCACATGGGTTGACACAAGATCTCAAAAAAATGAATGATAATTTGACACAAGTTTCTGAATCAAATTAGGGACAGTCTAACTACAAGATTCCATCTGCAATGCCTGAATGCAAGAAAGGAGAAAAACCCTGCTTCATTTAAAAGCTGACAGGTTTTTTAAAAGTGCTCCAGCTGGTCTTTTAACCATCAAATTTAAACCACTTCTACATTATTAAGCCATATAAACCAAAGCCATTGTTTTAAACACTCATCTGTCATTAGCAGACAGATGTCTGCTGCAGCCTGTTAAGATCAATATACTGGGCAATAATCCAGGAAAATGTAACTTTAATTAGATTGGATTTTATTTGAGGCAGTTTTCCATTAACAAAAGATTCCCAGTTGCAGCTCACAGGGGAGAGTAGGACTTGTTAAATACATATATTTGTATTTTATTAGTTTTTGTGGGTTTTCTAATGAGGTTTTAATAACCATGAAATCGTGAGACTAAGACAATCCTACTAATGGGAGAGAAGTACTGAGCCAGGAAAAAACTGTTAGGTTTTTCATGTCAGGCTCTGAGAGAAAACATGCATCTGTTTTAAGAAAATCACTGACATTGCCGTTTTCTGCTTCAGGCTGTGACTTGTACGCTTTTTGTGGGGCACTCTTTGGAATAACCTCAATGATGACTTTATTAGCTATTTCCGTTGACCGCTACCTTGTGATCACTAAGCCCCTGAAATCCATACAGTGGAGCTCAAAGAAACGCACCATGCAGATCATCGCTGTCGTGTGGCTGTACTCACTGGCATGGAGCGTGGCTCCGCTTCTCGGGTGGAGTATGTTGTCCGCTTTCTCTCTCTTCTGGTATTCCCTATGTGGCCTCTTTTAGCCTTGCTTGGGGTACAAAACAATGAGATTTTAATAAGTTATTGGGAGGATGCCTAGCCACTGCCTCATGATTTGTTGTCATGCCAAATATCTGTACGTGTTGCAGAGCAGACACCCTCCTCCCCTTACCCCAGGTTGTATTCAAGCAGAGCAAACTGCAGATGGAGTATTAGGTGTATATGAGAGTCTGAGAGTCAGGAGCTCCTCTCCACCCATGCACTCACATTCTCATATCACACGTATAATATGGCCAGCCTAGCTCTTGCAGACTATGTATATAGTACAGGGTTTATTTTAAGTGCTTAGTTGTTGGATCAGCAACTGCGCAAGCTTTGGATGTATGTGTGAATAATGTATTCTCTGTATTTCATAGGTTCCTATGTGCCTGAGGGGTTGATGATATCCTGTACATGGGACTATGTAACCTACTCCCCTGCAAACAGAAGTTACACCATGATTTTATGTTGCTGCGTGTTTTTTATTCCCCTGATAATAATATTCCATTGTTATTTATCTATGTTCCTGGCCATAAGACGTACTGGCAGGTAAGCAATGTAGCTGAAATAACTAAATTTCCCTTTTCTTGTATTGGAAGACTTTCTCGATTTCTTTAGCTGCAGAAAAATCTGAATCAAAAATTAATCCTAACTGAAACTGGAAATTAAGTGGCAGATCATTAACAACTGTGACTAGACAAGTATTTTTCTCAATGTAAAAGCTGGAATGGGTGTGTGTATTTTGGCGTAGGGGAAGAAGTCTCTGGTGTTTCTAATCTTATCACAATGTGCAGTAGTTAACAATACATCAGATAATTTGATAGTCTGGATTATTTGTATCTCAGATTTGCAATACAAGGAACATGGTCCTTGTGCATTCCAGCACAGTTTTCAGCATGTAGCAATGGGGGCATCATCTGCCTTTGAGCTGCTCTGTAAACATAACATTCCTCATACTTTTTGTCAGTTTTATTTAAGGCAGGCATCCCAGAAAACCTTGTGATTCACTCAAGCATTACAACTGTACACACAATATCTGGCTGTGCTTGTTAGTACACTTTCTTTTTTCTCTCCCAAATTCTTGGTCTAGATTTGAAATAAAAAAATCTTCAGTTTTAGATTTGTAAAATAACTTCATTCTGTTAGTTATTTCCTTTGTAATAAGCACATGACTTATCACTAGTCTGATCCAGTACCAGATGGGATTGTGAACCCTTCCTGCTGCTTTCAGTGTCGCCAGCACTGATGGCTTTCCTCTGTGCCTAGGCACTTGTTGAAGTTGTTTGGCTTCACAACGCTAAATTCCATTTAAACAAACATGTTTAGCTATATGCCTAAATTGCACTTCTTACTGAACTTTATATTTTGTCCTTAGTCTTGGCTTTTAAGAATGAATCTTAAAAACAATGGTGTGTTGTACACCCATGAAGCACCAACGGCCACAGGATTTTTCTGTGCCTTTTGCTCACTAATACAGTACACTCACTCTATGAGTATGTTCACAGTGCACCAGGAAACAATTTGTTACCCTGCTGGCTAATAATCACTGACATATATCTTCATTTAGCAACACTGATATATAAAAATTGTTATTTCTATGCTAAACCATATGAAACAATCTTTCTAATACAGTGGGAGGGTGTTTGTCAGATATGAGAAGATAATTTGATTGGTCCTTTTTTTAGCAAAAACATTAGACTACCTGTTGTGCTCCGCTCTGAAAATACTCTTCTTCAGTGAATGAATGTGCAGGGAATGTCTCTGTAAGCATTTGCGGCCAGGTTCCTCAGATTAGTCAGGCTATTCCAGCACATATTACTTCATGAGCTGAATTTCTGCAAGCTGTTACTCATTTGAAAAGCAAAAGCCATAAGATTTGATTTTTGCATTCAGCTGTGCCTTTGCTTGCTCCACTTCTGAGAGCAGTGAAGGGAAAGGGGTGCCAATTTCTTTACCCTCCCAAACTGAAACCCTCCTTGTGACAGGATAATGACACAGAAGTCCTGTGCTGTAGTCCCAGGGGCTCTTCTGGCCCAGTCCCACAGTTCCACAGTTTCACACACAAACAAAGCTCAGACAGAATGCCTGGGACCATTTCACTGCATGAACTACCAGAATTTTTAAATATCAGAGGACAAAAGAAGAAGTAGAGGAGGGAAAGATGAAATCTGCTTCATTTTAAATATGGCTAAGAACATATTAGAGATGTTGCATCTCACTTCTTTACCCTCCTGCTGATGTGTTTGTATTCTTTTTCCCTCACAGAGATGTTCAAAAGCTGGGGTCCTGCAGCCGGAAATCCTACCTCTCTCAATCCATGAAGAATGAATGGAAACTGGCAAAAATTGCTTTTGTGGTCATCATTGTGTTTGTCTTGTCCTGGTCTCCATATGCTTGTGTCACCTTGATTGCCTGGGCAGGGTAAGTGGAAACATCATCCAAAGAGCATGGGTTATTCTGACATATAAATATGGTTACTACTGTACCCACAAGAAGCAACTCTCCCTTTGAAAGGCTTTTAAATAGTTATTATATTAGAGGTGATATTGCATTCTTCACTATATTCTTGTGGATAAATTTAGAAAAGGGATTATTTTTCTTTGTATTTTAAAACTATTATGACTTCCTATCTGCATTTTGGTATATGTTGTTTCCTCTCCCCCAAGATACTTTCTTTGTATGAATTGGAGGAGTTAACTCTTTTCTAATACCTGTTCTCTCAAGAAGCTCCCTCCATACACTGCTGGCTCTGACAAAGGGCAGAAGATAAGTTATATTCCCTCACATTCACCACTGAGCTCCTGTCTTCCTCCAGCTGCTCACTGTTCTCTGCTCCAAAGGGACATGTTTTCTTGCCAGTGCACATTCTTGTTTCAAGATCAGATTGGACAGGGCTTTGAGCAACCTCGTCTAGTGAAAGATGTCCCTGCCCATGGCAGAGAGGTTGGAACTGGATGATCTTTAAAGGTCCCTTCTAACCCAAACTATTTTGTGATTCTGTATTAGTTGTAATTACCCAGTGCTGACACTGATCAAACATGATTGGCTGTGGGTGAAGAAGAAAATATTGGTTTCAAATCACTTCTAGTCCTCTCTTCCTTCTGCAGTGTTTGCAACTCAGTCATTGACAACCATTGCTGTGCAGCACAGATGTTGCTGAAAGATTTTTAGTTTTGATCTTGTTTTCTTTTTTTATCACCATTCACTTTTCCCAGATGGCCACAATAGGCTTGATTTAGCGTGGTGTTGTTTCTTTTTTTATTTTATTTTACTTTTTTTTTTCCTCTGGTGTAGAAACAGGGAAGGTGATTCTACGTGATCCTGGTTACCCTCAAATAGATAACTAATTACTTGCAAGTATTCCATCTTTCCCAGATAAATGAAATCAAGTACGTGCTGTCAAATGCAAGCCCTTCTTCTGAGCAAGGAATGCATGTGAATGAATTAACATTTCGTACACAGCACAAAAATGGTCAAAAAGAGTAATAAATATGTTTTAATAATTTGGTATCAATCCATGGCATAGCTGTGTGTAACGTTTTTGCTTTGTTTTAGTCGAGCCAACACCCTAACACCATATTCCAAATCTGTGCCAGCAGTTATTGCCAAAGCTTCTGCAATCTACAACCCCATCATATATGCAATAATTCACCCAAGATACAGGTACTGTAAACATATAATTATGTCTATAACTGTACATATAATTGTGTTTTTTACAGTAAATGAACTACACTCATTCCTGCATCCTTATCCCATGCAGTGTGTGCTCCTGCCCTGATCACCCCATGATGGGATCCAGATAATTAGAGCCTTCACTGCATCCGTCTGGTACAGGGCAAGCCACATAGCATGCGGAGATCCAGATGTAGCCTCAGAGGTAGCCAACAGGGGAGAACAGTCCCTGTCTTCACCTTTCTTCCCCCTCATAACCTTGCTTTGTCTTGTGGGGCTGCACAACGCTGTGACTGACATAAGAAAGAGTTGATACTCAGGGACATCTTTTGCCATATCAAGGACAGTCGCAAAAGGTTTCTCCAGATAATAGGTCCCAACCAGCAGGGTTCAAAATCCTGTCATCACCAGTTTAAGAATCTGTATATGTTCAAGGTTTGGTTTTCTGAAGCACTCAAGCTATTCTCTTTACACCAACTTCAGTACAAATGTGAGTAAGTTGTTGGTCTTTGGGGGAAGCTCTGTAAGAAGCAAACGGCATTTTTATAGCAGTTCTGTGCAAAGTTGAGAGCTGTAGGAAGCTGGTAATCTAGGTAGAGCTCCATGCAAATGAGCAAGTTTTCCAAATATACTGAAAATACTGCCTTTTCATTATCAGGCTTGCTAACTTTGGTCAAGTATTTGCCTTTGAAAAACAAAGCAAACATTTCTGAAATACTCTGTGGAAAAAAGCATTTTCTGAAGGCTGGTTTCATATTTCTTTAATTTAGTTGTTTCAGGGAAAAGAATCTCAATTCTTGGCTTTTTCAAAAATTAGCTTTGACTTAAAAAAGAAGTTTTGCACTACACTAATGGGGTTCAATGGGCAAAATGTTGATTGCTTCTCTGAAACGCCTGAATGGATTTTGCAGGCATAAAATATTTCTGACCCTATGCCTACATAAACAAATTATAGTATAATTCTACTTATTTTTACAGATATCAATTACTGTGTATTTTAAAACAGAACACTGCCAACCCAGCACAGTTTCACTAACAAATACTCAAACACTATTCAGTCTCAATAAGCTGCATGGTTAGCCAACTTTTCTTGCCTTTTTAGTTCCTTCTCAAGCCTCTGACAGCCAATGAATGAGTTTCTGAGGTGAAAGCTATAAATTCTGCATTTTTATCCAGGCCCTTTCTGACTGCAGCAAGGTAAGGAACAGAGTATGAAGATAACTTGTTCCCACAGAGTAGATGATTAGAAAGGTAATGATGCATTGTAAAAAGATTTCCGTACTGTCTCTCTGATGGGAAATCTACAGGAATAGCTGAATAGAATGATAATTTAATATACCATAACAGATGCTTCTCCAAAGAATCAGAAACCTTTCCCTATGCAGAAGAAGGTCTATTATAATCTCCTTTAATAACTTCTTTAGAGCATCCCAATTGGTCTCCAGAGACCAGATCAGCCTTCCCTGACATTTGAGGAAAGTATGAGAAGGAGCCACCTTGCATTTCAGAAAGGTCACCTGCTCTTTGTGCAAGTCAGGACCTGCAGGCATGCAGAGCATGGACACATCTAAAATTATTATATTCTCAGTCATGTGGTCCTGGAAGGGGTTACAAAGGACTTTAAAAAGTATTTTTGCAAGGGAATAATCTGGTGTGGTGTTCTTCTGAATGGTTTCAAACAAGGACAAACTTACCTTGCACTTCCCAGACACTATGAAGGCTAAAACTTCTTTTTTGTAGCAGATGTTTTATTTAGACATGTCCTGCCAGCTTCAGCTGAGAAACATGTTCAGGTCCTGGCAAAGTGAGTCACTTCTGTTAAAACTCCTAAAATACTTGGTTTCCAAAAATCTGGTGAAATTTGGGGGTTTTAGAGGGTTTTGTTTGGTTGGTTAATGTAAGGAAAGAGATACGACTCCATTGTGTTCTCAGCCCTATCTCCAGCATTAGGTGGGCTGTTAAATGACTTTTTCTTTCCCACCTTTATAATCCACAGCAGTGCACTCCAAAGAAGCTATACCTCACATATATAGCTCAGACCTTGGACCTTCCAGAGCTGTACATAATGTGTTTTTGAAACACAGTAAAAAATACTATACAAGCATTTTGTTTTTTATATAGTAATGAACTGCTATTCAGGATACCTTTAGATTTTTCTGCAAGTCTTTCAAAGTGTATCTTCCACAAAAGGATGCTGCATTGAGCGTGGATGAAATATGGCTGCGCCACCGTGGTAAATGTGATAAATGTACAAATGCCACTAGATGGCAGGGTTAGTCGTCGGTATGAGGTTTGTTTCACCCAGGAAGTGGAAAAGCTGCTGAGTTACATAGCTCGAGAACTAGGATTTGGGAGCTGGAAACTGAGTTTATTGTTTTGAATGTCTGATAAATGACAGTGAGGTTGTAAGAACAGTTAAAGGTTCTCAGAAGGCTGGTGGAAATACACCCAGGAACGATGAAAACATATATAATGTTTGAAAATGCCTGTTATCGTAACTAACATCATTTTACATCCTCCAAGAACCTGAGCTTATCTTAGTTTCTGAAGGATCCAGGGAATTTTAATTTGGAACAGGAGAAGGACGAGACTCTGATGGCTTGCAGAAGTTGATGAAAAGTTTTGCATTGCTGGCTGACCCATTTTGAACCTCGTATTATTTTTTCTGATCCAAAGCTATTATGTTGAGTGATTCCTTATATTATTTCTGCAAGGTCAAGTGAGTGTTTTTAAAGCAGATACCATAGAGCAATCTACTTCAATTAGTCTTTTTTCTACCACCAGCATTGGCTTTTCCAAGTAAGCTAAAAAAGGATGGAGTCCACAAGATTTCAGACACTCTTAAAAAGTGTTTTGTTTTACTTTTTCCCTGCTTCCTAATTTGTATTTCTAAACATATCAACAAGAGAAGTGTTTATGGAGTTCTTGTGAAGGCTTTTCATAGACCTGGGAGTATTCCAGTCAGGAAAAGAAGTAATGTTGGGTCCCTCATGATCAATTAAACATGCAGTTTTAAAACTGAAAAAGCAGCTACAGTACCCCAGTAATTCAGCTGGTAACAATATGTTGGCAGGACCAATTTTGCTTGAACAGTAAATAATGAATACATATGTAGAGATCAGTGTTCCTGGGTAATTTCCAAATCTTCTAATAATCCATGTTATGAGTTGAAAGTAATTTATTCAGTGATGGATAAATGGGCCAGTCTGTTCAGGCCCAAGACTTAAGGGTTTGGGCAGGGGATGAATTACCATTTTGCATTGGTACTACCGAAACAAATTAAATCTATGTTATTTTCCAGATCTTTCTAGGAGGTATCTAGAAATCAGGACCTAAAGAATTCAGATATAGCCCAAACCAAAAATGTATAGCTACAACAGCAAGGGGCTTTTTTTTTGTAGAGAATTGCTGTCACTGCATTTTAACACCCCAACAAATCAGAGAAGTCTTTCTGTGGGGTTTCCTTACCTTAAGCAATGAAAAATAAAAGTAAATTGCAATGAATGTAACAGAAAATATAACAATGGCCTTTGTGCTAGCACTTGGCTTTTAAGAACTGGTCTAGAGGTTAATTGTTGTATACCCCCTCCCCACCAGGATAAAGAAGAAAAATACTTCTCTTAACCGTCACTAGAAATAACAAATATGAATAAGTAAGGAAATGTGTACAGATTTTTAATTAAGGAAATGCTGTTTCATGTGGGAATAAAGTTTTTGCTCCTTAAACAATTTCTGTGGGAGAGAATGTCACTTGGCTGTGTTAGTCATTGCAGAAACTTCCTTAGATTTTGGAAGTTTTAGGTTTTGTAGTCATTTGTTTATAGCAAGCAGGGAAATCCTGCACCTTTGTGTTTCCAATTTGCTCACAAGGGAAGCACAATTATACAAAAATAACTTGTTCAAAACTGCTCCATCATAAATAGCTGAATAATCATAAATATTTGTTATTTGTATTATTTTATAAAAAATGTGTTTGCAATTACTACATATTTCAGTTTTGCTTGCTTTTATTTCAAAGGATTATAAAGACCATTAAATAAGCACCTCAGTTTATACCTACTTTATACTTCACACATACAGTATTAAAACACATTTCAAAACCTGTTATTTCATTCCAGCCTACAAAATATCCCTCAGCAGTCCTCCCAAATATTAGTAAAACTGAAACTCTGGTCCCTCAAGACATCAGTAATGTTCTTATGTTGTCCTTGAAAATTCACCATTAGATATAGATTTCCTGAACTTTCAGTGTGCAGAGGTCTCTGCATGAAATCCTTCTTAATAAACAGGATGGTATGTTTTACACAAACCTGAAGTTCTTGAATACTTTACAGCCCTAGGTAGGCTGTGGCCGAAATCAAAAGTGAGAGCTATGTCTGAGGGAAGTGGTTGAGCTTCTCAGCTGGGGATAAAAGCTGTCAGCTGCTTTTTCAGCACCAGCCTGAGGTCTTCAATATGAAAATGAGCTTATTGGGGCTTGGCATTTTCTCATGTCCTGCAAACCCCTGCTGATTCTCAAAACTTCTTATTTTCTGCGCAAGACTAGCTTCCTTTTTTATCCAGCACCATGTGGGCAGCCTTCTGCACCTCCAAGCAGCTGGCAGGCATCTCAGCAGAATCAGGAACAATGGTGTGACAGGAAGCTTTCTTCAGTCCTCGTCTCCACTGTAGGCACAGAATTGCAGTTCAGTTGCCTTTGAAGTTATAAGTAAGGACACACAAGAGTCTGGTATACTGAGAATCGTGATGATGGCAAGTATTGGGGTTTGTGGGGTTTGGTGGTGGTGGTGGTGGGTTTGTTTTTGACTGACAAATTAGTGACCCCATAATCAGGTCTCTTGAGACTTGAATGTGTGGATCTTTTCTGAGAACAGAAATGATGACTTAAAATATACTAATTATTCAACAAACCTGGTAACTATAGAAGCGAAGGTTCTACAGTATGCATCCACTTGACTTGCATCTCAGTGTGAAGTCAGTATTCAAACATAATCCACTGATCCTTAAGTCCTGTGCATCAGCTGTTTTCCATACACCTTGTTGCTGACTTGCTTCTTGGCTTGTTCATTTAGCTTTGTGCCAGTATTCATCTGTTGGGCTGAAATAATGGACTGGGAGGCACTGGGGAGGTGTCATACCAAATGCAGCACTCTGGCTAGCATCACCCTGCATCGCAGTCCTTGGTGGCAGCAAGGAGCAAGGCCAGCTGGCATTGCACAGGGGAGGCTCTTGGGCTCTTCTGTGCCATATGGGGCCAGGGATGGGGTCAGGAGAAACAGACCTTTAGTATCATAACTGAGTTTATTATTTAATGAATAAGGAAGGTTTAAAATTCTTTGGGGCCTAGATCATCCTTCTTCCTCGTGCTTGTAAAAAGTGTTAATTCCTAATAGGACCTGCCATGATATAAATAAATAGCATTATCTGATTCTTCTGCCCCTTTCCCCTTTCATTTTTTTTCCCTTGTCCTGTGCCTTTGCACAGTGAAGAACTTCATACCAGCTAACCTGAAAGTTTTCTGGGCTAACCTTGTAATTAAATCAGAAGCAATCATATTCTTCAATGTATTTTCAATTCTTATTACTTATCCATGCAGCCCTTCCATACGTGTCTTGACCTGAGGCCCAGAAGCCACCTGCTATTTTCCTTTCAGCCTATTAAGTAGTTTCCAATAGATATACCACACTTTTTCCATGTAGACCTCCTCAATCAAAACAGAAGCGGTACTGAGGTTATGGAAAGAGATGGTACTTTCACCATGTGATTTTCAAAGCTGTCTCATCAATGTGCCATCTGTTTTGTTTCTTGTCCCATTTTCCTTCAGAAAAACCATCCACAATGCTGTTCCCTGCTTGAGGTTCTTAATACGAATATCGAAGAATGACCTCCTGAGAGGCTCCATAAATGAGTCATCATTCAGGACCTCTCTCTCCAGCCATCAGTCTCTTGCTAGCAGGACCAAGAGCACTTGTATTTCATCAGTTTCCACTGGAGAAGCTGTAAGTCTTTTCTTGTTTCCATAAAGGAAAGTGAGTATAATGTTTCTCCGACTCCCAAAATAAGTGACTCTACAAATACATATTCAAAATTAGAGAATGGAAGGGGGGGGAGGGAGAGGCAGCACATCTGCGTGGTTCAGACACTCACTGGGAGCATGGATGTCCCAGTTAAGCCTTTAATGTGAATTTAAAAGAGCCGTTATCAGGCGTGCCCCGTGTCACCAGCCACTTCCTATAATTCAGTATCTGAGGAGGCTGAAGGAGGGGAAAACAGTTGCCCTTCTAAAGTTTTTTAACCTATCGAAAAGCTGTCTTACTAGTTTAAAGGAAGTCTATTTCCTGCAGGACAGGAAATCTTTTGATTTGTTTCCCTGGATTTTAACCGTGAAGAGTGGAAGTCTCCTGCACCTAGTGCAAGGTGGGGTATTTTGGAAGGCTGGTGATTCAGGCAGTTAGAAATAAAAGGAGTGTCTTCATAGCCCCTCTTGGTATGACTCCCCCTGTCCCTATAAGCCACAAGAAACCAGCCTTGCCCTCATTGGTGCTGGGAGGGTGGATCTGGGGAGAGGTGGCTGCCATGGCTTAGGCTGGGCTGGGGCTGGCCCTCACAGGGATCAGCACTGCTCCACAGTCAGCTTGGGTGTAAGAAACCTTCCAGAGCAATGGCTGCAGTCAGTAACCTTTCGCAAAGGTATAAATTACTGTGACAGACTGAGTGTCAAACTCTTGCCTCCCCCCTTGAGCCAAGTGGCAGCTGTCTAAGTGAAGATGGGGCTCTGTTATTTGCATGCTTTCAGGGTGCTGCTGCTGAGAGTCAAGCCATGGAGCTGCATTTCAGTAAGACTGTAATGACAGTGAGTATTTTCAGGAAGACTGAGGTCCTTAATGCAGAAATGGACCACCAGGAAAGTGCACCAGTCTCAGATAAGATAATTTAGCATTGAATTTTCTGCTGGAGAATTGAAGTTCTGTTCAGGTAGCACCACCGGGGAGATTTCTGAACTTGTTCATGGCAGACAGACTATAAAGCAAATTCACCTGAGCAAAAAATGCAGTGTTCACAGGGACACCAATCAGTCCCAGCCAATGAGAGCACGATGCCCAGGGTGCTGACATGAAATTCAGGCCTCCTAGCTGAGAAATCCAAAATCAGAATGAAAAACACCCTCAAACCCAACAACAAATGAAAATTAGGCCTGAGCCCTAATGAATCAAAATCTGTCCCATCGTGAAAGACAGGTTACTTTGCAGTCCCTGCTGCTGCTTCCACTCTTTCACATTAACAAGGCAGCCATATCAGGTAGACTTCCAGTTAAAGTGACTAACTCTGCTTTACAGAGTAGCCTCAGCCATACAGCTTGTGGAGTTGTGAACCGTTTGCAGACAAGGATCCTCCTCCACTTTGTGACTGTATGTCACATATCACAGCAACATTCCTAGCTATCACTAAACAGCTTATGGATTACTGCCTTACAGACAGGTATAATGATGATTAAATGTCATGAAATTACTTAAATGGGGTGTGTTTTGTCACTCAAAATTAAAAGGTGTTTAAATACCATGCAGTGGATAAACTAGTTCTCAGGAGAGACCTTGTCTAGAAGTGACAAGCTTTTTCTATAGTGTTTCATAAAATGCATCTATCATAACATTTCTTTTAAATAAAACAATAAAAGGAAGTGTGAATGGCCTTTCTTAGCCCAGGCAAAGCCTTTTTTGGAGTACTGTTGTTCATCTTTGAGCCAAAGTGTGTGATAGGACTCCTGTGGAGTATGACTCTACTGTACTGCATAGCATGAGGATCCCCAGGTCATAGAATAGTTTGGGTTGGAAGGGACTTTCAAAGGTCATCTAGCCCGTACCCCCTGCAATGAGCATGTACCCTAGATCATATAATAGTTTGGGTTGGAAGGGACCTTCAAAGGTCATCTAGCCCATACCCCCTGCAATGAGCACGTACATCTTCAATTAAATCAGGTTTCCTAGAACCACATCCAGCCTGGCCTTAATTTGCTTGCCTAGGCTCTCATAGTCTTCAGGGCACAGGAAGCACTTTCATATTTGTTTCTGTATTAGGGCAAAAACCTTAATAAGATAGAAAAAAAGAGTGGCTCACTTTGTATGGGCTATGAAATTTAGCATTTGTCTTCGCTCTACATAATAATAAATTTATTATAACTATATTTAAATAAAGTGCTCTAACGAAATAAATGAATATTTCTCTTGCAATGTAAATTAAAGTTAGATAATCTATCCTGTTGACTTAATTCCATTCACAGACCACTGATTACACAATGATGCATGACAGTATCAACTGTGATGATCCAGTAAACTGTAAAATACGCAGATCATCCTTGAAATATGAGGTTAGTATATGAAACATGCTAATATCCTACTTTTAGAGAAAGAGTGTGTGTGTATATATATGTATTATATATATATATACACACATCAGCTTGAGCAAACAGAGCACGCATACATAGAATCATAGAATAGTGAGGGTTGGAAAGGACCTTAAGATCACCAAGTTCCAGCCCCCCTGCCATGGGCAGGGACACCTCACTCTAAACCATATCACCCAAGGCCTTGTCCAACCTGACCTTGAACACCCCCAGGGATGGAGCATTCACAACCTCCCGGGGCAACCTATTCCAGTGCCTCACCACCCTAACAGGAAAGAATTTCCTCCTTATATCCAATCTGAACTTCCCCTGTTTATGTTTTAACCCATTACCCCTTGTCCTATCACTACAGTCCCTAATGAAGAGTCCCTCCCCAGCATCCCTATAGCCCCCCTTCAGATACTGGGAGGCTGCTATGAGGTCTCCACACAGCCTTCTCTTTTCCAGGCTGAACAGCCCCAACATTCTCAGCCTGTCTTCATGTGGGAGGTGCTCCAGTCCCCTGATCATTCTCATGGCCCTCCTCTGGGCTTGTTCCAACAGTTCCATGTCCTTTTTATGTTGAGGACACCAGAACTGCACACAATACTCCAAGTAAGGTCTCATGAGAGCAGAGTAGAGGGGCAGGATCACCTCCTTCGACCTGCTGGTCACACTCCTTTTGATGCAGCCCAGGATACGGTTGGCTTTCTGGGCTGCAAGCGCACACTGCAGCCGGCTCATGTTCATTTTCTCATTGACCAGCACCCCCAAGTCCTTCTCCACAGGGCTGCTCTGAATCTCTTCTCTGCCCAGCCTGTAGCTGTGTCTGGAATTGCTCTGACCCAGGTGTAGGACCTTGCACTTGGCATGGTTAAACTTCATGAGGTTGGCATCAGCCCAGCTCACAAGCATCTCAAGGTCCCTCTGGATGGCATTCCTTCCCTCCAGCATATCAACCGAACCACACAGCTTGGTGTCATGGGCAAACTTGCTGAGAGCGCACTCAATCCCACTGTCCATGTCAACAACGAAGATGTTAAACAAGACCGGTCCCAACACCGATCCCTGAGGGACACCACTCGTTACTGGTCTCCAGCTGGACATATATATATGTCTCAGCACAATGTAGCCTAAAACCCAAATACCCAAGCCCTTAAAATTTAAGCAGATAAGCTACTAAAAAAAAAAACCAAACCAAGCAAGATCCTCACTGTTCGATAGAATTAATAGAATGTTATTGCTATGCCATTTTTTAAGAAAGGGAATATTCATTTCACATTAATTGTACTGAAGGCATATTGAATACTGATCAGAAGATAAGGTAAGAACTATACAGAGCTAAGTCTGAAGTTCCGTACCTGTATGGCTCCTAACTGATGTCACTAACCAAAGGTCTATAAGAATCTCTGATGAATTCAAGAAAAGGAAAAAAAAAAATTACAAGATGATTGTTACAGAATTTTTTATGTTATTAAAGGTTTAGTACATATCTGATTCTCCTTAAGATCATGGGTACTACTTGTCTGTTTACACTCTTGCTTCAGTCCCCTCTACTCGGCACTTGTGAGGCCTCACCTTGAATACTCTTTTCAGTTCTGAGCCTCTCACCACAAGAAGGTGCTGGAGCGGGTCTAGAGAAAGGCAACAAAGCTGGTGAAAGGTCTGGAACACAAGCCTGATGAGGAACAGCTGTAGGAACTGGGGATGTTTAGTCCGGAGAAAAAGAAAGCTCAGGGGGAACCTTATCTCTGTCTACAGCTACCTGAAAGGAGGATGAAGCAAGGAGGTGGTTGGTCTCTTCTCCCAGGTAACAAGTGACAGGACAAGAGGAAATGGCCTCAAGCTGCGCCAGGGCAGGTTTAGGCTGGATATTAGGAAAAATTTCTTTACCAAAAGGATGCTCAGGCATTGGAACAGGCTGCCCAAGGAAGTGGTGGAATCACTGTGCCTGGAAGTGTTCAGAATCCATGTAGATGAGACTCAGTGACATGACCTAATGGTGGACTTGGAAGTCCTGGGGTAACAGCTGGACTTGATGACCTTAAAGGTATTTTCCAATCTAGCTGACTCTATTCTATGACTCTATGATTCATTCACTGGTTGTAGAGAGCACGTCTAGTGACATGGAAATGTGTTAGCATAGTTTAAAACAGGGATGGCTCCTTTTTTACTTATTTCCAACTTCTTTTGCCCCTTTCATCTTTTAAATTGACTTGACTTAAATTTATTCCTTCACTTTCTCCCCATTAATCCATTGTTTGATGTCAAATGAGGTAATTTCAGTTGTATCACCTACCTTGATCCAAAAAGCTTTCTGTTCTTCACTGTTGGTCACTACTTGGTTTTGGTTCATTGGGGTTAGCAGATTATTGTGTGTGTTTAACTGGGGCTGCTGTTTAAAGAGACGATATAATGTGGATAAGAGGCTTCAGTCTTTGGCACAGCTTTGGCTTAGGATTCTCCAATAATGCTGTTAGTAAAGTGCGGCACTGTGTTGTGAGTGGGTGCAGCCAAAGGTAGTTGTCCTTGGGGCAGCCAACAGCTCAGTGCAGTTATACAGATTTTAGCTGAAACAGCAGCTGCTGAAATAAAAGCTAAGCTCAACAACTCTCGCATGGCAGCAGGACTGAGTGAAAGTTTGGAATCCTCCCAAGTACTGATGAGCAGGAATGGCACCAGCACCACTGGAAAAGATGCGCTCGTTGCCACCAACACTTCCCTCTGTATGTTGTGTATGTATGTCCTTAGTGTAGGGAGACAATGCTTTCACAAGTCATATAAAGTTGTATTTACAATTTAATTCTATAAGGGAGAAGAAATGAAAAGGTGGCAATACACAGATGCATGAGCAAGGTGATGCAGTGGAATTATGCACTAGCTTCCAACTTGTGTGGAAGCCTGTCTGTCTATCTGTCCATCCATCCATATCTAAAAGCTGGTGTGGAAAGTAGTGGAATAGTTTCATCACTGATATTCAATTAAAAAAGTCACCACAAAGTTAGGGATGATAGATGGCCTCTGCCCAAGCCTGTAAATAGAATGGCATGGTTGCAATGTCACGATAGTGCTACGTTACTGGCATGCTATCAGAAAATCAGCGCAGAACTCATTCATTGCAATCCATCCACTAATGACGGTTCAAAGAAGAAGCAAGGTCATGAGGCTTAAGAAGCCTTGGCTGTTTTGGGCATCCAGTTAGGATATATACATATGTGGGTTTGGACCTGTCCATGTCCATAATTTTGTACCAGCTGATGGTCATGAAGACTGCCATAAGCCAAACCGATTGGTTGTACTTGCTCCCATCTTTAGACTTAAGACACTATGCAGCTATAAGCATAGCACAAACAGTGAGATAGAGAAGGGTATAAAACATATTGGTGCAAAGAGATTAACTAATTTTTCATTATTTCAAAGTTTTGTTTTGGTTCGGAAAAATAGTCCAGGGTAAGTGGCAAGATTAAGAATCAAGCCTCTCCCCAGGGCAGTTTTGAGGGTGAGACCTGTGTTAGGACAGCTTTAGTTTCCTATCGGTGTACATGGTTTCTGGTAGAGTTGGAGAACTTTTAGAATTTGAGAAAGGATGTACGTGTCTGAAGTTCTTCATCATTTGTGATTAGACCTGGAGTGATGTAGAACTTGACCCTGTAGAGCAAGCTCATAAGAAGCTGCAGCCATGCCGAAGTCACTCTTTCTCAAGTCCAAGACAGGAGAAGAGAGATCTGCTCCCAAAGACCTGCAGCTACGATGCAGCAACTGCAGAAAAGGTAAGGAGAAAAAGTCTCTGCTGGGGACTCTCCATTTTAGTGTTAACCTTGCTACAGCACATAATCTCTGAAATAATAATTCAATCTTTATAGCCACCTGTTTTGTCTGAAGGCTTTATTTATCCTGATTCTGATGTCCTCTTCGTCATTGCCTTTATTTCTTTTTTTGTACCTAAAGAGAATGCCAATAATGCCTGATTCATTTTTTTCACTAATATGTTGCCTGTTTTTGGAAAGCCAGCATTGACTCATAGCTCTAAAGCTGCACTGAAGCACAGTCAGTAGCATTAAATGCAAGAAGTTGAATTCTTTGCCTCTTTTCCTGTTTATCTAACCCTGTTCTGCTTCCTCCCCTCCTGACCCTTGTGTCCACATTGTGGTAGCCTCTTTTTACTACGAAGTCAGTGCTGCAAAAGAGTTTGACATGATAGAAGCCACCTTTTTCCTTCCTTCAGAAAAAAACATTAAAAGTTTTATTTCTGTTGAAAGGGAGGACTTGAAAGAAACTCCATTTCTCCCTAAGGGTAGGAGAGTCTGGCAGCTGCCAACCTTCCCTCACTGGAAAAGGAGATGGTGAATACTCAGTGCATCTTCTTTGGGTGCATCATGCTCGTTGCCCAAACCGCTGAAGTTTTGGGCAACAGAAAACTTTGTTCCATAAGGAACCTCTGAGGATGGAAGCAATAGGTCATGCATGAGTCAGCATCTGCCAGAACTGTAACACCAGTTTCAAAATGATTATTTGTATGGGTGGCACAATGTCAAGCATATATCAGTGCTGTTTTTCCAGGGAGGTTTACAATCCTGTCTGTGGCTGGACTGAGTAGCACCCATTTTTTGGTGCAGGCACCTTTTCATGGGACTACTCTACTGTGTGTATCCAAACATCCACACCTTGGTCAGCTACAGCATCTGCTTCTGTCCCTTCTGCTCCCTTCTAGCTCTTGACACTAATTGTCTAGAGACAGCATAGTTTAAAACAAGAGCTGTTCTGGAAATTTCCAGCCAGCCAATGAACTGGTTCCTGCATGCATCTTTCATGCCTTCTTTCATGTGTCTCCTTAAGATCAAGTCCTGAGACACTTTGGTCTTTCCCTGCAACTGTTGTGAATAGTATTGATGGAAAACCAAGGAATTAAAATGTAGTGGCAGGCACCATGGAATCAAATCTGCTAGCCACTTCTGCTGTCCTCCGTCACTAGCCCAACGTGTCCAAGGTGGTAGCCAAGTGTTAAAGACAAGAGGTTGTCTCCAAGTTCTGGAGAACCACCGGCTTTCAGCCTCACAAGGAAGGAGAAGGAAAATAAATCTGAGGTGGTATGCATAAAAGTATTCAGCTATTAAAAAAAATAACCCTGGATTCTGGAATTTGTCAGCTGCATAGCGCACAAAATGGCTCAGATGCTATAATTTGTCCTTGAAAGACATTTGTTGGATTATTTCGATAAATACAAAAGTATCTTAAACAAAAATACTTTCAGGCTGAGGCTTTCAGTGTTGTTGACCAAGATGTGTAGAGTTCATTTACATTGAATATTCAAAGCCTCATTTGCTTTTCTTAGTATTTTCAGCAAAGATTCCTGCATGGCGTGAAGGCCCTTTGTGTGTTAGCTAAATGCAACGCATCAACATTAATTCTATCAGAATAAAGTTTTATTTGTCAAGCTCAGTTAGAGTGTTTCGCTATGTGGCTACCCATTTATCCTCAAAAAAAACCCAACCCCACTGTGGTTTTTAGATATTTAAGGTTTTAATAGCATTACTGAATTGTCTGTGATTGGATTCCAATTATAGCACTTTCAAAAATGCTCAGTTATGGAAATACAAGTGTGAATTTGGTGCAGAGTCACCTAACTTTTTGATTTAACAAAATAGATAAATTATGTACCTCTGAATCCTTTTCACTGACTGACATCAAAACTCCTTAATGCACAGTTGCCGATGGGTTGTCAAAAAAGAAAAGGCATCCCTCAAGAGAAAGTTAAAAACCAGTGTCCCCGTCTTGGTGCTTTGCAGAGCACAAAACACATGGGACTGTTTTCTGGGCTGCCATAGAGATATGCTCTAACTCCATGACTTACTGCAGTTAGGATGGTAGCAGACCTGATGTAGACTGACATCTGGAAACCTGGTGTGGCAGTGAAGAGGCCTTTTTGGAAGCATTAAAATGCAGGCATGTATTATGAGTGGAAGATAGGTTTGAATATTTGATTTCAAAGGAGAGTTGCCAAGTGTGCTCTCTGCATCCAGGATTCGTGTCAAAGGAATTACTTGGCATGAAAACTATTTAAAAAACTTGGAAGTGGTGTCCATATTCAAAAGAAACCCTTCTGCTGCGATGAAAACAGCACTTGAAGCAGGGAGGACTGGTTTTAGGTTTTTCATTCTATAATTAACTTTGATTCGAAAGAATGGACTTTCCTTGTCTTTCATGTTGATTTAAACCACTGTTTTTAGCCCATTGTTCTTCCCTCCACTTGGATAAGTAGAGTGGCTGGAGAAATCTTCATCAATAGGAATCAGTGAATGGTTGCTGCTTGTGGAGTAGATTTACATAATGCTTCAGAATATACTAGTGTTATTCTATACCCAGACTGACAGAGAAACAGACAGGAAGAGAGAGAGACTAAAAAAATCTGTTGTGGTTTATTGCTTTTTTTGTTAACATAATTTGTATGAAAAACAAATATGTTTTGTTCTCTGTCTGTAAAATCAGACTGACTTATGTTATGCAATAAGATATTCTGCTAAACTACTTACTGAGATAATGATCCCTAAATCTTAAAAAATAAAAACCAAAACCAGCCACTATACTCCCTCTCCCTCCCCCCCTTTCCCTTTTTTATTTGAGGATTTCCCAGTATAAAGGTAGCATCACAGGCCATGGACTTGTTGGAGACAGAGGAGCCAAATTATAGCTCCTGCTGGCTGTAATCATGCCAGAGACCAATCTAACATTTTAAAAAGATGTTTTAGCACCAAACCTCTATAAATCCATGGGAATTACATGCCTGAATGCTTCAAGAAGACTGAAGTGGAATTAATGAGATTTATGACTAGAACAGAAATATCTGCAATACAGGAAAAATATTTACAAAACTATTATGGGAAGCTCAAACTATGGAGAGACTCAGTGTAGCTAGTTAATACGCCTTACAGGTGTATGAAGAGAAATAAATAGAACTGTTACTCTGATAGAAGCTTCATAGCAATCTGAGTAAAACTTTGTTGTATGCTGAATTCCATTAGTCTTCATGAGAATTCACATAGTAATGAGGTAAATGCTGCATTTTATTTTAAATGTTGATTTTCTCCAGGAAGGAGGGACTTCTAACTTTTCTCTATATGTGGCATTTTATAACCTGAACTGTCATTTCCTATAGCAAGCCAAAATTGATCACTCATGCCTTCCATTGCCAGTGTATTTAAATATTAACCAATTCTTTAAAAGCTTATTTAGTTTACTCTGGATTTGCGTACTGTGCACAAAAAGTTATGGAAAGGTCACAGGGGAGTTGCCATCAGGGCCAAGTAGGAAATTAAGTTTTCTCAAAGAAGGCAGATGGGAAGTGGTTAGCAAAGCAAAATAGCAGCTGCTGGTTTTCTCTTCTTTGCTGGTGGAAGTACTATCCAGTACATGCAAAGCCACTGACTGCCCTGAGACAGTAGCAGGAGCCATTTGGGGATACCATGACACATTGTCATAAGGATGATGAAAGTGTAGGCAAATAAAGAATACAGTGTACTTGAGTCTTACCTGAGATCCCTCCAGTGAGAGACAGAAGTGCAATTATCTGGTACCTTGAGATGTGTTAAAAATGGAGAAATGCTTTTTTGAAACATAAAGTAAGTCAGATATAGGAATGGGCTTTTCTTCTCTTTTTGGTCTCTGCTGACATTTAGGCATGTTTTCTTTTGCCTCATTTAACATTCTGCTTTCCAAGCTGTAGATGTTAACACACCATGATTTTCTCTCTTTCTAGTAAGTGATTCAGGTGTTTAGAAAGTATGACTGGTGACTCAAAAAATGGCTAGTGGTAATGAATATTTCTACTACTGGTTTCTGTAGTCATATGTTGTATGACAACGCTAAAACTTATGTCTCCATTCCAGGTTTCACTCTCCTCCAGCTGTTTGGAGAAGGTGCTTAGGCAGCCAGTCCTACACGATCTCCCTGCAACACTTGTGACCAGCTCCCTGAAAGCAGCCTCTCTGCCTGTTGGTCTGAATAGCAGCAGTGTGAGTGGAGGAGAGGGCTCAGGTACTCCACAGACAGAAACTCAAGAAAGTCAAGTGAATGGAGTCCTGGGCTCCATTATTAGCAATACAGTCCCTCGCATCATTATCATTCCTACCTCAGAGACAAACCTATTTCGAGAGGAACTGGAAGAGGAAGAGACTGAATTATTCCACTTTCATGATAAAAAGGGCAATCTGCTGGACTTGGAAGGGCTTAGCTCATCCATGGAGTTCCTTGAAGCTGTTGAGAAATTTCTATCATAAGTTTCTCAAAAGAAAACTTTCCAGTAATTATTTTCTTGGCATCTTCTCCACTTAATTATACCAAATAACCAAAGCCTTGTAGGTTAGATCATCAGACATTCTGTATGTTTATACAGTAGTCACTAGGCAGCCTTCAGATTTATCTTTGTCCAGACCAGCTCAGGCATGGAAACAGGCTTTCTTTCAGATTATGCTGCAGGAAGTGAGCAGTGGAAGATCTGGCAACATGATCGATTGACACTGGTCGGTCGAGCTTGTCTGCCTGCTTTATAGGGCCCTGACTTGTAACCACAGATGAAGGTGCCAGCAGAAGGAAACTGACTGAGCAACAGCAGGGGCAGCTGCTGAATATTTCTGCTACCTGCGCATGAAGTGGCATTCCTGTTTTGGCTGCTGTCTTTTGCATGGTGATGGGAAGAGCCACAAGACCACAGTTTCCACCAGCCACAGAGGTAACGCAGATGGCTCAATTATCTGAACTAAATTTTAATCAAATTATTTTCAGTGTGGTTTCTGTTGTGTTTTGTTTTTTAAATAGGCAGCTTGCTAAAAATAAACAAACAGATGGTGTAACCGGGAAGTAACTGCTTGCCTTTGAAGTTTAATGCTAGAAGTCTGGATTTTACCTCAGCATGAGCGTGATTACCTGAATGTTGAAACACCAGGTTCTGTATGCTAAAACATACGCTACTACCTATAGAAGCATTTAGAGCACCTTCAGAGTTACAGTCTTGATTAGATATATGTGGATCCTAATTAGTCTGTGATTAAAAGGGTGAATGTTCACAGCTGGCTTAACAAGTCATTGATAAAAATAAAGCCTTGGCTGCTACGTATAACTTCTTTCTTCAGAGGAAATTCTTCTCCTTTCCTTTAAAATGACACAGTGGATGTCTTCTCCTACTGGTCACTTACCAGAGGATTTCAAAGCAGGTAAAACATTGTCCCGGGGAGAAAACATAGTACTGTGGTGTTTGCTACAGGATTTGTACTTGCATTGTTATCTGTGGTTACTGACTGTTATTTCATCTGTGCTTCACTTTATGGCTCAGGCTCATAAGAGCCTCCTAGCATTTTATTCCTAATGTGTTCTTAATTTCATTATTCATTTTCCCATTTCTCCACTTCCTTTCAGTCTCTGACTTTTAAATGTAGAAAACTTGAACTATATTTTTTTCCACATTGTATTAGTATAACTTAGCAGAAAGCAGGCATTTATCTGGGTATAATAGTGCAAATATTTGGTCTCCGGTGATTCTAGTCACATTCAGATATCCCACAAGACAGTGAGAGTTTATGTTCGTAGTCCTGATTTATTCCCTTGACTGTATCCTAGATTGTGCAAAGACCACTGAGAGCATTTCCAATTCTTGTGTTGTGCACTGGCTGGTCTTGGGAAGTAGTTTCTCTCTATCTGTTCTACCGATGCAAAAACCAGATGGAAAATAGAAAGCATAGAAGTATATTCTTTAAATTATTTTTTTATTACAAAAGTTAACACAAATCCTGTTTGCAACTAGCTAGACAGGAACGCTACTGAAGAACAAGGTAAAACCCAAAGCAGTACAAGAGAGAGGAATACCTCACTTGCAGATCTGAGGCTTTGCAGGGTGTCAGCACAGCAGGCCTTTGAGACACTTGCTTTTGGTACGGGCTGTGCTTTTTTTTTTTAGGGCTAAAAAAACCACCACTGGTGGGTTACAAAGCTGATTGCTGAGATTGGCTGCCTGTTGCAATGCTAACACTCTTTATACTGCTATTATTTGAGGTACTGTCCTGTCTAGAGACCCTCACCACAAACAAGGCCAATGTTCCTCCTTACCTTGTAGAGGAGGGGTGAAAGTGGTGATGGAGCCACATCACATACATGTTTGCCTGTGTGCTGCCTTCGTGCTGGGAGCCAGGGCTCAGCCAGGGCAGCACCACACTGTGGTACCTGCAGCAGGGCTGCCAAAGGCTGTGCCCACCCAGTGCTGGGTTTTGTACTGGGGCCAGGAATAACAAGGTCATTTTCCCTTATGTCAACTGTGCAGTCAGTGACCTTGCTACTTCTTGCATTTAATATCCTCTGCTGCTGTACCTCCTTTCTTCTCGAGCCAGATGTTGGGAAGCAAGAGTTCTTATAAGGCTTCCAAGTCTTAAACCTGACTTTTACTGTTGTAATTACTCTAAATAACAATAAGAAAATGTATTTGGTGTTCCAAGATATAAAAACATGCCCTGGAGCAGATTTTGCACTCAGATGTTGATAGATTTGTACTGGTATGACTGTAGCAGGATATTGCTGTAGTTTGAGACAGGATGAAGAAAGTAAGACCTAAGGTAACAGTCAAGAAATTCCTCTGTATCCCGACAAAACTTTGTATTCTACTTGTTAGGCTGAAAGATGACTTTCCAGTGATCTCTTGGTATGTGCTGGTACTAATAAAGGGTACCAGAAAACTAGGGGGCTTGAGATATGTGCAAAGAGTTTTATTTTTACACTGTTAATGTCATATACTCTTAGTACCATTGCTTCTAAAGCTAATGTCAAGATTACTGTTTACATCAAATGATGTAGGCTAGAATGACAAATGAGATAGCAGTAGAGAGTTAAAACATAAAGTTGTATGGAATATCAGATAGACTTATTACATTCACTGTGAGACTTCTGCAGAAACACCAGTCACAGAGTAAATGAATCTTAAACTGACTACCAACTGCAAACTTTTCTGTTGCCACAATAGAATAGATGGCACATAAAATTGTACAATGTTAACTGTTGCTTCCCATTTCATAAAGGAATGTATTGATTCACTCAAATGGAATAAAAAAATCTTAGGCATTAAACTAAACTATTCATTGCTTGTTTTCCTTATTTAATCATTAATGTGAGGTGCCAGGAGGAGAAAAGACAAAGATGAATCAAAGCTGTTGAAAAGTGTGTCGTGATCCAGTGAATAGCGAGTTACATATATTTTCAAGTCATTGAGATGTGCTCATACACAACCAGGCACTCTCCTCCTTGAGTGCAGAGCATCTAAAATGAGAGTTCACTGATTTGGTAAAAATCTGAAGTTGATCAGCAGCTTTTGAAATACAGTGACTTCAACTGGGATGTCAGGAATCGGGTGAACAAAACTGAAAAAAACTAACCAAAGTCAATACAGTAGAACTGTGACAGCAGTCTCTGATCTTTGTCCTATATTGGAATGACAGTTAACCAACAGTTGTTTGTTTGTGCTAAATCTTTGTATAACAGCACAGTTATGGTATTTCCAGTTTTCATGAGCAGCAGAAGATTCAGACCACAAGTGTAAACATTTTCTTTTTCCCTGGACAATAAATCTATTTATTTTTTTATAGCTAACTCCATGGTTACATAAAGGTTTCAAACAAGAATTAAAAAAACACAAACTTACTTGAATCTTAATGAATTTTTCTGCCTTGGGTTGGTATGAAGCATGACTTGATACCACTTTCTTTCAGAAAGCTCATTCAGTTGCCAGACATCCATCCATTTCTCTCCTTTCAGGAGACACCCCTGAATAAGAAAACCCTTCCACTCTGCTGTCTCAAAAAGGTTTATGCTGTGATGTGCAAAACAGGAAAATGCTGGGAGGCCAATACTCTCTTTTGTAATTTCCTCACTTTTATTTTTTTCCCCCTCTTTTTGTTACAGCTGCTCTTCACTGATTTCTAGTGTATCCTTGATATTGTTTGTCTGGTTCTTTCACAAATACATGAAAGCCATGTAGGCTAGTAAGGAAGCTAGAAACTTAGGTGTGTATCATGCAGTGTTTTAAGTGTTGACTCTTGCATAGTATATCAAAACTGACCATAGTAATTTGGTTCAAAAGTGCATGTACCAGATAACTGCAAGATAAAGTCAGACAAGATGAATGCAGCTGAGTCATATCAGCACAAGCTGATGATCATTTCTTGCTTTGCACCTCATCCATAGTTTCAGAGTATACATCAATGTTCTGCCTGCACACCTTGAATGGATAGGTGTATAAGTGGAGGTTTTGGTGCTGGGATACTTTTGTTGCACCTGTCACATTTACCTGCATATGAACACTATAGTTTACTAAGAACTTGGATGTCTGTCCGTATATTTTACTTGCTTTATGATGTGCATGGGTAGCACTCATGTCTGCACTCTGGTTGCACTTGTCAGAGCTACAGGTTAGTAGCACAACATGACAAGTTTAACCATGAAATGTCAAATGTCAGGTGTAAATCCACCGTTACTAATTCTCCCCTGTGCCAGTATGGGGATCTGCATGCCAGCAGTCCTGGTGCCAATACTTCATGGTAGAATTTCCTGAGAGAAAATTTCTGTAGGGGATGGAATCTTATACAATATATTGACATTTTTATCCTGAAAATTTTACTCTTTATTTGTGGTTATACATCATGTAGGCATTTTTATTTAAAAAGTCTTACCTGAAAGCAAAGCTTCAGGAGACCCTTGTCATCTTCAGGACCTTGTGCTGGATGGAATGAGCCAAAGACATGGGCAGAAACATGTGAGGAGATGGGGTGCTTGCCATGCACGGTCCTCAGGGTGATGCACCCCAGCCCTTTTTCTCTATGAAAAGGAGCAGGTCTCATTCCCATATAACAGTCAGAATCATGTTCTAGTGGATGCACGTCAAAATGGTGTTGATGGTTTTCCATAAATTCATAGGGAACTAACTGTGAGTAGATTTTCATGGGGACAACAGAGGCTGCCTCCCTAGAGTTTCTCCTTCCAAATTTCAGGTTCCTTTCCATTATAAGCAGGTGGTAAAGCCCTACAAAGAAACAGATGGATGTATTTAACATTCACAACTAATTTTCCACAGGCATGCTCTTGGAAACAAATGATCCCTATTTCCTGAGATGGATAAAAAAAAAAAATTCTAGCCCAGAGCAGGCTACAAGTGTGGAAAATGTGAGGCTGAACACATTCGAGTTTGGTAAATGTGAACCAAATGAAAACAGAAGCATATAGTGGAAACTGTAGACCCACCAGGAGTGCAAAGAAATGGCCAACTCCATCTTCATAAAAAATGTTAAAAGCTCTATCCAGACGATTAATACACCCAGGCCTTTTTGTCTAACCCTATCTATGGGCAACTCAACAGAAAGTAACTCAGAGCTACCAGCAGCTTTGTCATGTTTGGGTCACCCCCATCAGACTCAGCTGTCTGGGGACCAGCATGTGAAGGAAAGGCAGACAAAAAGGTTCTCTTACAAGAGCAAACTTTATTTGCCTTATTGAACCCAGCAGAAAAAGACAGAGGGGGATATGACTGCTAACTACATGTGTCTGGGGAGGAAAACAGGCTGTACAAGCGAAAGTGTCTGTTTTGGCACAGGAGTAAGTTACCATGAACTTTGTGAATTAATGTATTCTGAAAATTACGTGGGGTTTTAAGTGCTGGGTTTTTTTTTGAGCCTGGGGCATGTGCACTGTGAACACAAAAGAAACAACTGCATTTTGTAGCAGTCTCAAGCCTCATATGAGCAGTGCCATCTGGCCAGCTATAGCCGCAGTGACAGCAATCAGCATCCAGTCTCAGACTCTGATTGCTTCAATAAATTTACAAGTAATTCTTTTAAAGTGCAGATTCACACAGAAACAAATCCTAGTATTAAAACTGAGGTGAATAATTTGCTAGACAATTTTAAGTAGGCTGAGGTTGTTTGAATCTCAGTGACTCAAACATGAGTGACTGTCAGGAGAGTGCACGAGACAGGAGTCTTGCTGGAGAATGCAGCAAATTTCCTGACGATGTACAATCATCAGGCAAATAACTGCTTTTGATTTGATGAGGGGAAGTTTGCAAGTGACCCGTAGAATCTCTGTCATTCTTTCTGCAAATTTAGTGGAAAAGTTTTTAGTGGAAAAATTTTTAGTGGAAAAATTGCCTGGCATTTTGCAACGTGGAAATAACTTGAGCTCCAGCTGCCTGGAAGGGCTGAGCCTGCATTTAGTTATATTTTGGTCCTCACTGTCATGCTGCCTAAAAGCCACACTCTTTTCTGGGGCTGGGAGTTGAGCTTATTTGGCCTTCTCCCCTGGCCCCAGGTTGTGTTTACAATTGCAGTATAGCGTAAGACCTTATTTTTCAGCATCAGAGAGCCCAGGGGCAGGTGCTGAAGCCCCTGACGGGCCCCTGGGGCTCACCGCTACATGCCTTTTCTTTCCAGCCTTTAGTCTACCAGATGTGCTGGTCTGTGAGGCCAAGAGAAGGAGGCAAATGAGAAGAAGTCTTCTGTGTTTTTCCATGGTTTCATTATCTTGCCTATTTTGGAGTGACTGCTCCTTTCTTTTCCTCTTTCCTTTCCTTTCCATCTCCCTTTCTTTCCTTTCTCTCTTTTTCTCTCTTTTTCTCTTTCTCTCTTTTTCTCTCTCTCTCTTTCTCTCTTTCTTTCTCTCTTTCTCTCTTTCTTATTTTTCATTGGATGCCTTGCATGCATCCCTGTTGGCATAGGGTGCTTACTCAGAAAGCCTTTAGTTTTGTGCTGGTCTGGATTTACTTTTCCTGCATGATGATTTTTCCTGGAACATCTTCTGAGCACTGCTGGAAGTGCCTGGCTGATGGGCCTTCATAGTTCGGCTGTCCTGCCACACTCTGGTGCTGCTGATGCACCTAGACATTTGCTAGTGGGTGAAGCTTCCTGTCCAGCAAGACTTAGCAACTAAGACTTCCAGAGGAGAAACTCGCATGGCATGTTTCCATTTCGACTGAGATGCTGTTTCCAAACTTGTGTAAGAGAAGGGCTGAAAATGGAAAATTTGGAGGATAGTTTAACCATTCCACAAAGTCTGCTGCTTTGAATCTGTCTTCTTCACATGCTTCTCTTTCAGTAAAGGCTGTTGTGCAATGGGACTTTCACTTGTGTTAGAATACTGAAAATTCTGCTACCACAGTTCTGCAGAGAAGTCAATGATCTCAGTAACCCAAGGAAAAAAAAAGGGATAAAATCAGCCTGTAGATGGGAATCAATGCATTGTCTAGGTAAAAGGCAGGTAATAAAGAAGTCTCCACTGTGGTCCTAAAGTTCTAGACCTGGACTCCAGCGAACACAGAGGAGCTCAGGATGGGTGATTGCAAACACTCCAACAAGCCAGACTCTAAAATAATAGACTGTGTAAAAAGCAGGGGACTACCACAGTGAATTTTCATGAGTCTTGTGCTTGTTTTCAAGCTTTGCTCTCTGGCCTGAACAGACAGAAACTCCCTTTTGTTCACAGAAAAATTGACAATAAAAATCATACAGACCAAGGATCTGGCTGGCTTAATATCCTGACTCTAACAATGGCCAGCAACAAGTGTCTAGGAAGAGAAGCAAAACAGGTACAAATACTTTCCTGCTATGCTCTCCCACCCTGCAGCAGTTCTATGCCAGAAATGATATTTAATAATCTTTCAGAGACCTCTTTTTCTTTCACGGATTTATGGAATCGCTTCTGGGACTCATGCTCAAGCTTAACTACCAAAACATCTTGCAGGCTCTGTGGTTTAATTCAGTGTACATGAAAAAGAGCCCTCCTTTGCTTGTTTTGAGGCAACACCTGGTAATTGCATTTGGTGCCCTCCATTTTTCATAGGGTGTGAGAGAACAGATAATCACTGGTGGGCACCTTCGCTGCAGCCCCCCTGAGGCTGCACGGTCTCTGCTGGTGGTCTCCTCTCTCAGCTGCCCCTGTCCATCTGA